AAAATATATAAAAATTCATGTGGGTACTCAAATGAAAGGTCTCGATGAGTATAAAATCAGAATGGGCTTATATTTATGAAAATGTTAATTATTGAGGAATGCCCATTGCATATTGTTAACTAATGATGTTCTTAACTATACAAGCTCATTCCTAAAATTTATAAATTTAAGACGTGTGTACAGGACAACGTCTGTCGGATCCGCTAGTAAAAAAATATTATAATAATAAAATTGAAAGATATTTGATAATTATTAGGATTTTTTTAAAAAATAAATTATGACAGAAAAAATGAAAATTCCACGTGTAGAAATTGTAAGAGTATATGAATGCAATTATTCAGAAATAATTTATTTGTTTAAAAAATTCAAAAATGGTCAAATGTCTGCTAATTTCAGTGTCATTAAAACTATTAAAAAATAAAAGTAAATATACTTACGTGTCAGATAGAACAATTAACTCATCATAAGTTTTTTGGATCATAAAATCCATAAGTCTGGCAAGTGGTATAGAATTTCCGTGATTGCTTTCCTGCGGCATGTCATTTGCCATAGGAATTTGATGCGAAGCCATCGAAATAATATATTTTGAAACTAGGTTTTATCAATGTACTCTAGTTTCCTTTCATTTAATTGAATTACACTCCCGGTATATTAATTGAATATATTTATTATTAATGTTTATTAACCTACCACTTCCTAATACAGGTTAATTCTAAAATATTACATAAGTTAATCAAGTCTCATAATTTTTGAGCATTTATTATTTTCTATCATAAGAAACTAATTCTTACAACAATAATATTGCAAAATAAATATTTTTAATTAAAAAAGAGTAAAAAAATACTAGAACACTATATTGTGGTGGTTAACTGATAATGTTAACGATGTGTATCACAATCAAAATACTCTGTTAACTGAAAAATTGAGAAAGTAAATAATCCAACTGTACACATTGTATCACTGTATAGATTCATAAAGTAACTATACTTTGATTTTCACAAACATATGGTTACCGTGATGTATTTCAGTCCAAAAAGTGAAATAACTGACATCTGGTGTTTGAATTTGGCTAAGCAGGTATTCGCTTCAAAAGTAAAGCCTAATATCTGAATTGAGATTATATAAACTCTAAATAAATATAATTACATGATTATAAGTGAAAATATACTGAAATAAAATATACATTGACATACATATAAAAATAAGCAACAAATCAAAATCAAAATATTGATTAAAAAAAAAAAACATTCATATTTTTAAAAATAAATTTTTTTATTAATTCTGTACTTAAAGTAACTTTAATGTGAGTATTTTACAATTACACTTAACTGAAATTAAAAGACACCTGAAAATTTTTTGATTCTTTTTGAAAAGTAAATTTAAAAATTAAAAAAAAAATTGCATTTACGGGTGATTTTCTGTAAGGGCGTCTTAAATCTATACAAAGTTGTCCGACTAAATTATTTTTGATTTTATTAGAAAAAAAATTAACAAGGGCTACAAAACTATTAACTTAATCATTTGCTTTTTCGATA